ATCACAAAAAGGGTTTTAATAGGTGATGCCCAGAAGGGTTTTAATAGGTGATGCTTTCAGAAGAACCTTATCACAGAGCAGCTTATCTTATTTATACTTATATACCCTACCCATCAATACAACAAAAGCTTATTCCAAAAGGCCACTCCATACAGCAAAGCTTAATGTGACCCCGTGACCAAAGTGACGAAAAGTTCTTCGTAACCTACCTGACTCTACATATACATACATCTGTATGTATATATATTTTATAGTAAAGCACATTATTTTACAACTCCTCAAAAAGCTCGCTGTATAAAAAAGATCTATAAAAAACATCTATAAAAAAGATGTTTACTAAGGACCACAATTTTCCTCTGGATAGTTAAGTTTTCATTTACAAAGATAAATACATCATTTAAAAATTAATTATAAAATATGGTAGATCTGTTGGTCATATACGATTATTTAATAGCATCAATACTATTGTGTATAGTAAATAAAACATGCAATAATTGTTGACCAAGCACAGTGTTTACCCAAGGACACCTGCTGAAGCAGAGACGGAGGACAGCAGACGGGACTCAAACCAGTCTCCTTGAGGGTCTCCACCAAGAGCTGTCCTGCACACGACGGCCAGAAATGTCTTCATCAGATCAGATCTGACCAAGTCACTCTGCTGACAAGATTCCGACTGCTCAAGCTGCACTTCCCGGCTTGGCTTTAGCTTAACTTTCCGGCCTCATCTACAGGTGACTTCCCCTGACTTTTTACATTGGAACACTCACTGCTCTTAAAACGATGATAGCTAGCAAGAATTGAGCACCATCTGTAAGCAACTGGGTAAACTACTGCATATGATTTACCTCCTCAGCTAATGATCAACCACCCTATTACAAAGATTTTATGATCACTACCCCATACCCTTCAAGGCCCCACTGTCACACAAACTCCTTTCCAAGTACACAGCTCTACGTTGTGTAAATTTCGCAAAAATTCTTATTTGCCTTCTTTATCTTACATAGGTCCCACCAAATTGTATAAGCTTCAGGGTGCACAAAACCTAGATATGCCCCTGTTTATTTTCATTCCCATTATTCACTTTACTGAGGCTCAGCAAGGTTAAATAACCTGCCAAAATATTCACTATAAGACATGGCCAGAGAGAAAATTTGAACCCATGTCTACCTGTCTTCAGAAGCTTAGAGTCTAACTATAGTACAAGGCTGCACTTCTGGTCTTATAGACTGCAATGCTGCCTGCAATGACCATTTCTCCTCTTCCTATTTTCATCACTAGATTTCCAGCAGGCTCCTATTCATCCTCCAAACCCCAACTAAAGTGTTACCCTTTCTCCACATCTTTACTTAACCTCTCCTGAAACAATGAGATATTCTTTAGCTAACCCTGTCTTTTAAACACCTGCCACAGTATGTGTGACATAATCAAAAAGAATATGCTTTTTGGAGTCAAACTGACCTAGGTGCAAATTGTGCCTCTGCATATTCGTGGTACAATCAGGCCTAGGACAAAATATTTTACCTCTCAAACCCTTAAGTTCTTAATCTTTAAAATGGAGGCAATAATTTTTAACACATTGACTCATGTAAACACCCAACCACTCATTCAAGAAATACTTAACAAGTGCCTACTGTATGCTAGGCACAGAGCATAGAACTATGGCATAGAAAACAGAGGCACAGTTCCTACCCGCACAGAGCTTACAGTCTTAGTGGGGGATACAGAGAAATGAACAGACGGTTAAAATGCAGAGCGAGGAGAGTATTGATTTAGACCAAGGCAGGGTATAGAAGAGCTTATGGGGAAGGGATCACGACCTAACCCAGACTCCAGGGGTCAGGTAAGGACAGCGGAGATGAATAGCAATTCAGCAGCAAGTCTCTTAAAAATAAAACAGAGCAAATATTCAAGACAGATACTGCAAGTAATTTTAATTTAATAAAATACTTCCACCCCACCCACACCATAGTCACACGTCCCTCATTCCTTAAGCATTTGAAAACTCCTCTGAATGTCAGGGAGGGAAAACTGATATATATATTTTTTTACAGTGAGTAGGTTAATAAATAGGAAACCTTGTGCATTGCCCTGGGCAGTACAAACCTTGAGGCTCACAGAAGAGGCCAAATAAATAAAAATAAAATCAGATGGTTTCTCAGGTTTCTGTCACCACCAGAAGAATTCCTTAACATTTGCTCTTGTTTTCTGTGTTAAAGCGTTTAATGACAGAACAAGGAAATCATTTTTACATTTTTCTGGGGGCTGAACTGCCGCATAAAGTGAGAGAGCAATTGCAGCTTTCAAGAGATGCTAATTGCAGCTTCTAAAATATTAGACTCCCTCTAAACACACGTCACCCTCATCCCCTAGGAGTTTCTGGGTCTTTCTTAAAGGTGCTGGGAGGATATTGCCATACAGACTTCCTTTCCTACCCAAGGATTTGAAAACATTTCTGTTGAGTGATTTATTCCTTGCTCTTCAGGGGCCACATGCCCCACAGCTTAGGAAGCCCTGGAGAGAAGGACCACCTTCTTTAGGCAAGAAACCCACAGTGAGAAAAGCTGTATTGGACCGATAAAGGGAAATAACTCACCACCTCCTGCTTTATTCCACATAACATGGGAATTTCCATCTGAATTTAGACTTTCTACCAGCAAGCTAGCAGGGTAGGACCTGGGAGCCTTCCCTCCCACAGAGGTTTTTTAGGCAAAGATAAAGGAGCAAAAAGTCAGCTCTAAGAGACCTGCGACTTCTTACTTCCCGGGAGGGCAAGAAGGAGGAAAATGTTGTCATGCTGGCAATTCTATTTATAAATGCTTCTCTTTACAATAAGATGACAAATTTAAGAGGCAGAAGAGGGGAACAGCAGCAGCTGCCCACACAGACTATTACTTTAAATTTAATTATTGGAAAATCATTCTATTCAGGCCAAGAGAGGGATGTGGAGGAGGAGGAGGGGTGAAGACAAATAATAAAATATGGAATGACACCAAAAACTAAATTATATAAATATGGGAGGTGGGGAGACCAACATTCACCCAGAGATGTATCCCCATACTTCAACTAGCCGAGAGGAAAACTGAGATCCAGAAACTACTCTTCCAGAAAGAGTAGAACGTTATTCATTGTCAAGCTCCTGATGCTTTCAGTATTCAGCTGCAAATGTAGATTTCACTAACTCTTTAGCCACGAAATCAGCAAGATATGTATGTAATTACCTACATATCTGTATGTGTAACACTATTTCTGAAAATGAACAGATCTGTACTCCGGTCTAAAAATGAGGCTGACCCACATCCACATACGAAAATGCTGACAATTTTGACTCCAGCTGGGAAGCACATGATTTGTAAACCTTGTTGTGAAAAGGGAAATACCTATAATTTTCCATCGAACCCCCGAATTACTAAAATTAAAGTTTTACCAGTATACCTATACCCATAATAGAGTGGGATCAGAGGCAAATTACGGGGTGGAGTGGGCTGGCAGTTGCTTGGGGCCCTGATCTACACAGGAATCTAAAATAATGTTGAAAAATATCATGGGGAATAAAATCTTATGGGGAAAAATTATACAGTTGACCCTTGAACAATGCATGGGTTGGGGTGCTGGCTCCAACCCAGTCAAAAATCTATGCTCCCAAAACTTTTGATTCCCCTAAAACTTAACTAGCAATAGCCTACTGTTGACAAGAAGCCTTAGCAAGAACATCAACAATTAATATATACATTATATACTGTATTCTTACAATAAGGTAAACTAGAGAAAAGGAAATGTTATTTGGAAAATCATAAGAAAGAGAAAACATACTGTACCGTATTTATTGAAAGAAATCCGTGAATAAGTTAACCCTTGCAGTCCAAGCCTGTGTTGCTCAAGGGTCAACTGTATGTGACAGGAAGGACCGCGTGTGCACAGAAGAGGGGAAAAAACCTCCGAAGAGAGGCTGAGGTAGGGATGTGAGTTGTAATGTGTCCAACCAACACACACATGCACTGCGTCCTCGTGTTAGGAAAGGTGGTCCCTAAACCACCATCTAAGAAAAGTGGGTCTCGTTAACTATTCCCATGGGGCTACTGTCCCCAAGAAAGGCATGCTGCCCTCCCCCCGCTCCCCTGCAGAAATCAGCCTCTGGACAATGGCTGAGGACATGTTTGAAGAAGAGCGGGCATGAAGGAGTCCGGGTCCCAGCCCTCTCAGGACTCTGGAGCTGCCTTGTGCCCGGACTGGAATCATTCTGATTCATATTTCTTTGATCTCTGAGATTGATTTCTCTTTCCCATTCTGTCCTTGTTCTCTCAACTCAAAGCTCACATTCTCATAGATCTCCATTCCCTTTGAGGCCATCAAAATATGTGACTAAAGTGATTCACAGCATGGGGTGAAGCAACAGATTTGACTGAACAGGGTTTTCTGGTTAAAAGAGGGGGGAGTGCTTGGCAACCTAAATCCCGAGCTCATGGGGAGAATGTGTTTGGCGATCTTTCATCCTGTCTCTGGAAGAGTGATGGCTAATTCTAAACATCTTCCTGTTTAGAGTACTGCCTTCCCCTCCCCTACATCCCAAATACTGACTTGTGATCCTTCCTTATCAACACCTTCCGTTTGCCATTTTGTTAATTCTGCAGGGTCAGTCCCCTGCAGGAGGTGACTTATTCAGGGACCTAATGGTTAGTTCTGAGAAAGGTCCTATTCATTCAGCACCTTCCACATTTAATACTCCGAAATTCATTCATTAACATATGATGTGGAAAAGCGATGATTCCTACCACCACCACAACCAAAGCCAATACCGTCTATTGAACGAATCAGCTCCTGGCTTGGCACCAGCTACCCTGAGTGAACTGCAAACTTAACTGAAAAGTAACCTGAGTCAACAGTGTCCACGACGAAGGGAATGAAAGCTGTTTCCCTTGGAATAGAGATCACCTAAAAAGGAGTGGGAGGAGGAGGACCAAAAGAAAGGAAGGAAGAAACCCCAGTTGAAACTTGGCATTTACTTGAAGAGGAGCCAGCAGAATGGACGTGCATAGACAGTTTCACAGCACAGAGGGAAGGCATCGCTCAGAAGGCTTCCTTGGAGCTGTTAAATTTCTTGGGTGGCAGCCTTGGCTGGGAAGGCAAGGCACAAAAGTTGCACTCAGGGTTCTGAGGACCAGGAGGTGGTGTCTGCGAACTTACGGGGATCGAACGGCTCAGGAATCTCGCTGAGGAAGAAGAGAGGCCGGTGTACGAGGGCCGGAGGAGGGTGGGGTGCTCCTCCGTCTTGATGCTGTGAGGGCTCGGCTGGTTGCTCAGGGTGCTCCCGCTGCTGTTGTTGCTTCTGCTGTACTGGTTGTTGTTGAGCTCAGGGTAATTTCTGGCAGGCGGCTGGGAGCTGCCGTTCAAGAGGTTGGTGAGTGGACTGGCTACGAAACCCGCCTTAGAAGACGAGGAGGCCTTTTTGTTCTCTGGCTCCTGTGTTGCGGCATTCAAGTTGCCTAGAGAACTGGCTAGCCGGGAGTTTATGGAAAAGCTGAATGGAAAACACAGGTTGGGGAGGGGGGACATAGACAACGATGTAGACTCATGTGGAGTTCATGTTTCTAAAACACTAATTAGGACATGAGGGGAATGGGATGCAGACAGTTCTGATCAATGCACATGGCGACAGACTGGCTTCCTTATCGCTCTTGGTGATGGTATCATATGGGGACTTGAGTTACACACATTAACTTCCTGTCAAAGCAGTTAATTAAGACGCAAGAAGCTGGCCTAACCACTCTGACCGGATATGTTGAGGTAGAACATCTGGGGGTTCTATGCATCCTGAGGTAGAGAGTAAATGAAGAGGGCCATATAACAGGAGAGCAAAATGTAGACTTCAGTGTAAGATTTAACTTACACGTACTCATTCTAATGTCTCTGCCCATCGCAGGAGAAACGACAATACCCCATAGCATTAGTCTGTGCCACGGAACTCCAATTTCCTGATCGCGTTAGGCAAGCTGGAGCTTCACTACAGAAAGGGAAGCCACACGGCTCTCCCTCCACAGCCTTGTCCCCCGCCACGTGAGACAGAACAGAAGCCCCGGAGGGTCGCAGAGCCGTCTGTGATTCCTCCCTTTCTCCCTGATCCCCTTCTCTGACAAACTTCAGCCAAATTCATTGTGTGCTACAACCTTCCTCCGCTTCCCACCAGTATCTGAGAAGCAGAGAAAAATTACCTTCTTACACTGGCACCCGAGGACAAAGAACCTCTGTTTATCCTCTTGGCCGTCGCTGAAGGGGACAAAGCCACTTTTGAGGTCTTCAAAGTAGTTGCAGATCCTTGTGGGGACGAAGTCAATCTTTGTGGAGAAAAAAAGGGCAAAACGTCACACAAAAGCTGTGTCATCTTAATATTCAGCAATCACCTAAGACACAGTAAACTATTAAGATTAAAGAGATCGCAGCAGGTCAGGATAACAGTGACAGGAGCAGCAGTCAAGGCTGACAGAGCACTTGCTCTCTGTGCAAGGCTCTCTTCTGAGAACCTTATGGAGGGTAATTGGCTCATCCTCACAACAGCCCTGTGAGGTAGCTGAGACAGCAATCCTCACTCCGCAAGTGAGCAAACAGAGCCACAAAGGAAAAGCTCCTCATCCAAAGTCACTCAGTGAGCAAGGGACAGAGCTGGGATTCCAATCCAGGGTCCAAAGTCCTGTCCATCACCGGGTCTTGCCCTGTTGGTGGTCGTCCCTTCTTTGATGGCGGCGTTCTTTGCACGTCCTTAGATTCTACTTCTTTATATTTTATTTTTTTTAAATATTTTATTTATTTGACAGAGAGAAATCACAACGAGGCAGAGAGGCAGGAGGAAGCAGGCTCCCTGCAGAGCAGAGAGCCCGATGCGGGGCTCGATCCCAGGATCCTGGGATCATGACCCGAGCTGAAGGCAGAGGCCCTAACCCATTGAGCTACCCAGGCACCCATACTTCTTTATATTTTAAATCTGTCTTCTTCTTTCCACTCTTCAACTGCCCTAGCTGAGGCCATCACTACTCCTTCCTCGTGGCTACTAGCAACATCTTGTAATCTTATTCCTTAAAATTCAAATTCTGAAGAGCCTCCGGTAGAATCTAAAATATTTAATTATGTCGCTCTGCTGTTTAAACCATTTAATCTTTCCTCGGTGCCCAGAAAGCCTGAGCTCCGTGGCTATACTTATAAAACCCTCCTATCTGGTATTAGCCTTTGTGAACAGGTCCTTTCTTTCCACGCTTTCCCACTAGACATCTCTCCTCCAGCGACACAAACTGTTCTGAGTTCCCTGAATGGACAGCACTCACACCTGTGTCCAGCCTGCATATGCTGTTTTTCCTGTCAGAGCATCTCCTCCTTCCCTTACTCCCCCCTCCACCTCCATCTGCCTCATTCCATTGCTTATACTTTGCTGGTCAAATCAGCTGGTACCTTATAGAGCAAGCGCTGAATTCCCAGGCAGGGTAAGCATCCTGTTTCATCATATATTCTCATAGTAAATCATAGCCCTCATGCCATATTTCATTGTCTGGTATTTATTTTCTTTGCTATAAGCGCCACTGAGAGCAAAGGACTGCTCTCATTTCTATTCCTAGTGGCTAGTCCAGTGCTAGACTCAGAGAGGATGTTCATTAATGTTTGAGGGAAAACAGACTCAAACCTGGACATCCAGGGTCCAGTCACGGTTTTAATACCAAACCTGTTTAAACGCACCTAGACCTTGCTTTCCTATCTGTTCTAGAAAAGCTTACTTACTTGTAGACTCTTTCCTTCATCATCCTCCCCCCAAACAACATTTTAAGTACATGTTTTGTCTCTAAAACAAGAATGGGAAAAGTGGTACAAGGAAGCAGCTCAAGTTTCTGGAGAAGTATGAGCCCTCTCAGAAATGCCCACACAAAACAACCCTAAAACCTTGGGCTGAATAAGAGTCAGAGGTGAGAAGTGAATCGGCTTTCCACCCCTATCTTATCAACAGTCTTGGCAAACATGTTCAAGCCCTCATCAAGGCCTGTATGGCACTCTGGTACCACTGGTGCCTTGAAACCAACCCAGGACTATTTGGGGGACATTTTTTCCAGAGACAAACACTAATGTTTCCCCTTCAGATGGAGGACAGAGAAGGAAATAAAACTAGAAAATAAAGGACAAACACATGTAAAATGAGGGGAGAAGAGGGCTAACAAAAATGTTAAAACCTCAAGGCAAACTCGATCACTGGATTGAAAGGCTCATTGATGAGCAATCGTAGTTTCTTAGACACCCCAGAACGTGCTGGAAGCACAGACTGCACTGATGTCACTACCACAGCCACACCTATGGGTACCTCAGGAAAACCAAAATCCCCTTCCCGGTGAGCGTTAAAAATAAGGTGTAGCGTAACAATCTGGAACAGAAAGGAAGGGACTTAAAAAGTGAAAAGCTGTATGCAATTTATTTTCACCAGTTTTAGGATTGGGAAATATATCTAAAGGAGAGCATTTACTTACAAGCTACCAGAAATTCACCTCAATAACAGTACCTGATAGGCTGGGACACTGCTCTTGGGTGCCCTTTCATATCATCCAACCTACGGAAATCAAAGACAAATGCTCATGCATCACTGGGTTCACACATTGAATCAAAGGCCAAAAGGCAGAGCATGTGGAGTCAGACCAGTAAAAATACTAAATTTGCAAAAGGGAGAAACCTCCCAAATGGATATCAGCACTCATCCCGTTTCCAAAAGAAATCCTAAAACCAGCAGGAAACCCCTTTCAGTCATTTTGTTTCATCTTGAATTTAATTTACAGCAAATTGCCTTAAATCAGAAGGTGGTGTTACAGCCACTCAGGATTAAAAAAAAAAAATGTTCAATGATGATACCATTAGGAAAAACTGAATTCTAAAAAAATGAAAAAATTTTAGAGAATTAAAAAAAAAAACAGAAAAATCATATTAGAATCGCCTTCTAAAATTTGTGTAGTGGAGATTCTCTTGCTTTTTTTGTCTACTTATGTGCCAAGTTATATGCCAATTTATCCCTCCCTGCCCCTTATGATTTCTTCAGAATCAAATCTACAACTGTTTGAAATTAATTAAGCAATATAAAGCCATTTCTTAAGCGTTTCAAGGGAAAACAGGGCAAATAAAGAGATTAGTGGTCTTGAAGAACCTTCCACGGATGTCGATGGTACCCACAGCGAGCAGAGCACACACTGCCCAGTACGGGGTATGACTACCAGCTCCATTCCAATTCCATCCCACTGGGGAGGGATCGAACCTCTCTAACCTCAAGCAACCCACCCAAATGTGGGTGATGATTCATACCTTTTGTGTTAACTCAATTAATCCTCGTATCCAGACTAAGCATCTACCATGGCTCCTGACCATAGCAGCTGCTCAGTGAATGATACGTCTCTTCAGTTTTCTGTGGCAGCTAGTGGTTACTACTAAGCACCAGCCTTGCTATCCCGTCTTTCCTGTTGCTATAGAAAACAATCACCTTGAATTTGGGCCGCATAAACCTTCTTTCCTCAGGTCAGGGAACCAGTACTCAAAGTTCAGACCTAATCTGACTTGTGTTCTAATCCTCCCAGATAACACATGAAAACTAAACTGTGAGGCTGTTTGACACATTATCATGCTGGCAAAACACCCTTCTTGCTGTGCCTGTCTCTCACTTAAAAAGTAGCCATTTCCCATTATAATCATTTGTGTTGTGAACTTGTCACCTTCCAGGAATCTGGAAGATATTCACAGATTTCTGTACCTACATTGATCCTGAAGACTTTCTTTTTTACCTAATCTGAACCATGAGCATGTTCCAGATAGTGTGATCACAAGTCAGGTTCCATCAATTGGTTCTGATTCGTAATTTTAGACTTCAAACTCAGGATGGTTATAACTTTACAGACACAGGTAAGAACTGTTTATTCAATTCTCAGATACAGAACATTAAGCTAAGGAGCGAGGATATACCAAAGCTTGGCATTTAGTACTTTCCTGCCCTCTCTAGATTCAAAACGAAAGCCTCAGCACACCTGTAAGACAGAACACCCACTCATGGGGGAAGAGTAGAATTCCAAACGGAATTTTGAGCACAGTCCCAGGGACACCCGAGGGCACCGCAGTTTAAGGTGGGATTCCAGAGGCTGAGAGTTTGCAGGAGCTGCTGTCTGTAAGCTTCTAAAACTTAGCTGCTCCCTACAGTGACTGGATAATAAACCACACAAAACAGTAATAAACCAGAAAACAAGAGGTAAACATGGCTCTTGCAGAACGATATTCAAAAGAGAAGAGTAAATGCTCTATCCACAAATGGAGGCACAATACAAACTTAAAAGTTTAAAATGGATCCTACCTGAATGCACAGGATGGTGAGGAGCGTGGCTGTCTCTGACTTTTTAAGGCACGTAGTTTGTCTCCCTGGGTTATACTGTTTTTCATTTCCACATCCTCATCCTCTTCTAAATTATTCTGGAAAAAGAATGCATGTTCCATAGAAAGGTTATTATGAAAAATTTTGCTTTACATAGATTTCTTAATAGACTATAAACCATATATTTCATATAGATTATCTTAAATAGTTTTAACACACTATGAATTCAGCATTATATGTGTGTGTGTGTTTACACACACACACACAAAACACACACACACATACTAAAGAATGTTCAACTATTCATCAATTAAATATACTGGTCAAACTTCAAATCAAAGCATTGCTATGAATGTGGTAGAATTTAAAAGGAGCTCTTTCTTACAATGGACCACAGCCAAAGAGACTCTCATGGAAACAAAATCATGCTTTGGAATATAGCTCAGATACAGGCTGACTCAATAGATACATTACAAATATGTTTCAAGAGACAACTAGGATCAGTCACTGCAAATGTTATAACTTGTTTACAAAAATGAAAGCTAAAACAATTTAGGATATCTAGACAACAACTTACTAGGATCGATTAACACCAGTAAAAGCACTCAAGACCTTTCCAGAAGGAGTTAAAGCTTACTAGATTGAGAAAGCGTTTCCTGCTGAAATAAGTCTTGTAGGTTGAAAAATAGAAGTACCATACAAGGTCTTTTCACATGCTAGCTCACATTTCATTCTTACAACTCAGGGCAGGGAGGACACTGTTGCCCATAAAGATGAAAAAAAGGAGGTGCTCATAGAAGAATATTGCCCAAGCTCCCCAAAGCTCTTCATAACAGCTATGATTTTAAAATCAGACTTCTTGACCCCAAATACAACAGTACACTAACACTGCACCAGTAAAGATTTTATTTTGCCCACTTCCTCCCCTGAATAATTCATATGCCTTGAATTTGCTAATTCCTTGCAGCCATAAAAGTCCTCTCCCCTCTGTCACATTCTAGTCATTTCTGATATATTTCCCTCTGTCACATTCTAGTCATTTCTGATAGCCATTCCTGGCTCAAAACACTTCTTTGCTCCCTGCCACATAGGTTGGGTTGCATGGCTACATCTGAGGTCTCTAGGCATGTCCTGGGTAAAAAGACCACACCTTACTACTTTAACTCGGAGCTTAAAAAAGCAAAACAGACATACGAAGCACACACCTGGAAGGAAAGAAGAAATAATGAAGAAGAAAGCTTCCTAGAGGAGGAAATCCCTTAACTGAGTATTGAAGAATGAGTATGGAGTGAAGAAGGCCAAGATCACAGGAAGGGTCATGCTGGCAAAGAACACCAGTTCAACTGTCACAGGCTCATGGAAGTTTAAATTCAGACAAGATTCTCTTAAAGTCATAAGTTGCCCATCTACAAAGTCTTCGGGAATTGGTTATACTATCTCAGACCATACAACCCCAGTGGGGAGGAATCCATTACACCCGAGAAAGTCTGCGGGAATAGAAATAAGGCAGGCCTGAAGGCTAGGCTTGCTAGCAGGATGGCACACCTGAGGAGGTGGGCTTAGCTTCACCCAGCCATTACCATGGGTGTTGTTACCAGTTACTTGTATCTGACGGAAGGACCGGCACACAGTAGGAGTCTCTAGATTATGGGACTGGGTTCTTGAATGACCTGACAGGATCCTCACCCTTATTTGTCAGGTTCATTGTCCAATGGGCACCTTTGTGGGAAAGCCAGGAAAGCTCCTTTGGCCTTCCAACCAGGAGGATCTTTGTATTCTTCACTCTGAAATGCCTTCAAAATTCTTTTTGTTTGTTTGTTTTTAAGATTTTATTTAATTTATTTGACCGAGAGAGACCCAGTGAGAGAGGGGACACAAGCAGGGGGAGTGGGAGAGGGAGAAGCAGGCTTCCCGCTGAGCAGGGTGCCCCATGCGGGGCTCGATCCCAGGACCCTGGGATCATGATGGGAGCGGAAGGCAGATGCTTAGTGACTGAGCCACCCAGGCACCAGTACCTTCAAATTCTAAGGAAAAGTGAGCTTCAACCTGAAATTCCAAAGTTCAACCCAACAGACATAAAGGTAGAACAAATACACAAAAATTTACCTCCCACACAATCTCTCTGAGAAAACTATTACAGGATGTATGTCAGGGAAAAGTTAAGAAGACAGGAGGAAATCCAGGAAAATTAGGACTCCAACTGCAGAGTATGAAAAGAAGGGTTCAGGTTGGAACCGTAGAGTAGGGCTAGAGAACAATCAATCCAGGCTGGAAAGGAGAAGCCTCTTGGGGAAAAGAATGAACTTGGTAAAGTTTTTTTGCTGTGTCAAGATTTTGAAAAAATTTTAAATTTCTTAGCACAACTGGGGGGAGGAGGGAGTAGCCTTATTTTTTCCCCAAGGAAAAAAATACACAGAAAACTCTGCAAATAAAAAGACAATTAACTCACATCTGAACTCATATAACACTGTGTCAATTGTATGTAAATGAAAAATAAATAAATAAATAAATAAATAAATATAAAACACCACAAAAACAGGTAATTAACTCTGGGAAAAACAAAGAGAGATTCAACAAAGGAAACAGAGTAGACTACCAACCTCAAGAGTGAACAATTCTTACATAGTAATGACATATTATTGGTTTTAACCCAAAATTATGATGTAGCTGTACTGGGAAGCACAGGGGAGTGAGAGTAACATCTCAGGGGAGGGGGAAGCTAAAATCTCATCCACCACAACCAGGAGGCAATCAAAAAATGTCCAAAATCAATAAACTGTTTCAAATAGCATTACAAGCAAAACACTGATGTGCAGAAACATGGTAGTGAAAATGCTGGTATCATTTGCTTAGAGGTTCCCCCTTCTGTGGGTGGGTTTGGGAGTTGGTCTAGGAGAATAGAAAGGTGGGATAGGGGACTGATATTTTTTATTAGAATTCAGTAATTTTTGACACTTCTAAAAGTGTGATCACATATTACTTGGAAAAAATAAATACTAATTTAACAAGATACAGAATTAAACAACAAAAAAGTACGTTTTACATTATAGTTACGTTACAAGTTACAAGTATTTTCTCTCCCACTTCATTATGCATCTGAAAGGTAAAATCTTTTAAATATAAAACATATCCGGGGTGCCTGGGTGGCTCAGTGGGTTAAAGCCTCTGTCTTCGGCTCAGATCGTGATCCCAGGGTCCTGGGATCGAGCCCCGCATCGGGCTCTCTGCTGAGCAGGGAGCCTGCTTCCCCCCTCTCTCTGTCTGTCTCTCTGCCTATTTGTGATCTCTGTCAAATAAATAAATAAAATCTTTAAAAATAGATATATAATACATTTCCCATATAGAAAATAATGAAAACACTGCAACAGAGAGCCACGCCCCTAACTAGCTAGATTTAACATATTTTCTACTTAAGCTCCTTCTCTTTTTTTTTTTTTTTTAAGATTTTATTTGTTTATTTGACAGGCAGAGATCACAAGTAGGCAGAGAGGCAGGCAGAGAGAGAGCGCGGGAAGCAGACTCCCCACTGAGCAGAGAGCCTGATGCGGGACTCAATCCCAGGACCAGAGATCATGACCTGAGCCGAAGGCAGAGGCTTAACCCACTGAGCCACCCAGGCACCCCTTAAGCTCCTTCTCTAAAGGAGTTTACTTAAATACCCTAACTCTCAAAGAAAAAGAAATATTACTTATTAAGTCTCAGCTCCTCTCAACCTCTGGAGAAGGAAACCATGTATTTTCCAAAGGGAAAAAAAAAATTAAAAAATATATATATACACAAACACACCAACAAGTATCATAGGGAAAAAATAAATATACATATATTTATTTTATATATAAAATAATGTATAAATATATATATTTATTTTTTCCCTATGATACTTGTTTGTATGTAATGACAAAATACAGATAAGAGTGTAAAAAATATTAAAACCACCAACATATTTATCATCAAAAAGCAAAACCCATTAGCATTCTGGCATAAAGTCTTTCAGATTTCCCCCCATGTTATACATACCATCCCCCAACATACTTCTTCCTGACAAAGAGGTTGAGTTACATATATGCTGCCCTATAACTTACTTTTTCACCTGAAAGATACATTGTTGGAAGTATTTCAGTATAAATTTAAAAAACCAAAACCCCCAAAACCTCTCTATTATTATTCTTTGTGGCTCCATAAAATTCCATTGTCTAGATACACCAAATTTCATTTATTTTCCCTTGGTTCAGGCTGTTCTCTGTCTTTTATCACTATAAACAGCTCCAACAAACATCCTCCTCTATACATATGGCTTTTAAACACTGTCCTATTATATTATGGCTTTTAAACACTGTCTTAAGACGGATTCATAGAAGTGGAACCTCTAAACACATGGTACAGTCTTCCGCCATGCTTCTTCAAAAGGTCCTCCATTTCAAACTCCAACTGGCAACCTTTAGTTTTTATTCCCCAAATACCTGCTAATATTGCCTACATTCTTTAATCTCACACAATCTGAGAGGCAGAAACAGGATCTTGTCATTTAGATTTGTGTTTCTTTAATTTCTAGGGAAGTAGAAATAAAAGAAAGTGTTTACCAGCCATGAGGATTCCCATTTTGTTTTATTTGTGTATCGGGCATTTTCACACTGATTTTTAAGCATTCTTTACATTAAAAAAACATAACAAAACCCTAATTTGAATATGTAGCAAACATTTTCTCCTACATGGTGACTGCGGAGAGAATGAACGGGAGAAGGATAAGTCTTTGGGAGGGGAGTGGGACACAGTTTACTGGCTCCTGCAGAGGTCTGGTGACAGGTAACAGACTGGATTAGGTGTGAGAGAACGCTTAAATCAGGACCTGGGGATGGAAGGGGGAGGGGAGAAGATCCAGACATGTAATACTGGTCTGAAGAAATCTACTAAAATATAAATCATGTCACCTTTTTTTATTATGTTATGTTAGTCACCAAAAAAAGACAATTATCATATGGTTTCACTTATTTGTGGAACGTGAGCATAGCATGGAGGACATTAGGAGGAGGAAGGGAATAATGAAGGGGGGGAAATCACGTAATTTTTTTATCTCAGTGTATCATCCTTTATTTTATTT